CCATAAACTCTTGGGCTATTTTTATCTGACCGAAAGGAAGCTAAACAATAGCAGCTACCATAAACTCTTGGGCTATTTTTATCTGACCGAAAGGAAGCTAAACAATAGCAGCTACCATAAACTTTTGGGCTATTTTTATCTGACCGAATAGTAATATTTGGCGGCCATCATTTGTATACCGTACCCACAGCTTCAAGGTGCGAAGTGAGTTTTTGGAGTAACGGGACGCGAACCAGTGTTCACTGTCCGGAAACACTAACCATCAGATTATGTCCGACCCTTTGAAAAGTAATAAATAATAAAATTCAAAGAAATACGTCGATTTTTTTCTTCAAGGAAGTATTTTAAAGAAATGGGACGAAAACACGTGAGGAAAACTGAAAATTGGATACTCCTAAAACGAAGAAAACTTTAAAGAATTATTTGTCGATAAGCGACCTTCTATATATTTTGGCTGTTTAAATTTCAAAAACAAAGACAGTTCGGTCTGATCTCTCGCCTTTTTTTAAATTAGTTTATACATAGATTCCTAACATCCTTAAGTCTTAGTATAACTTCCGTCCTGAATATACTCAGTATCATTATAGGTTGTTTAAGATTATTATAAAATTTCTTAAACTTAATTTCAAACCTAACAGGTTCTGCTGAAATCGGGCTTACATTTTGAAAAAGACATTCCTTAAGTACGCTTTTTTTAGTGTCGTCCACACAGTCTGGATCAGCTGAAATAAATCAGTAAACTATAATAAATCTTAGTTCTACAACCTGGCCCGGCATGGCCAGGTGGTTAGGGTGCTCGACTCGAATTCTGAGGGTCACGGGTTCGAATCCCCGTCCCACCAAACATGCTCGCCCTTTCAGCCGTGAGGGCGTTATAATGTGACGGTCAATCCCACTATTCGTTGGTAAAAGAGTAGCCCAAGAGTTGGCGGTGGGTGGTGATGACTAGCTACCTTCCCTCTAGTCTTACACTAAATTAGGGACGGCTAGCGCAGCTAGCCCTCGTGTAGCTTTGCGCGAAATTCATAAACAAACAAACAAGTTTTTCCACCCAAGTTAAACTGACGATAGTAATAAACTGGTTTAACAACGACAAACTATTCTTAAAATATAGTTCAGTACACTAACGTGTAAGAGATTGTTGCGGTATGAACATTATTATATACGAAGCATTATTATAAACAATTATATTTGTCATAAGACACTATTATTAGGCCTATATTTTTTAACACTACATTTTTTATTTGTTGTGTTCCAGTTGGCCTGATGAGCTCTGTACTGAGCGAAAAGCGTCGTCGACAATACATATGACCGTCATAGTGTGATTGAAATACTATTATACATAATTCTTCTTGAAAATTTTAATACATCTAATGCTAGTGTCTTATGAAAAATATAATTGATAAGTATAATATACTGTTAAACATTAATTTATTGATATGTCATGAGAAATGTGCCAGTAAATATTAATAAACAAATATTTAGCTCTAAGGAAAAAATGTGCGTATTATCACCAATCATCTGATCAACTTGACAGTGTCAAAAACTGCAGAATATATATATATATTAAATATACAAAGTATAAGTCTCTATTAATTTTCGAGTAAGAACAGCTTTTTTTTTAATAATTATATTTTCTGGCTTTGGTAAGATTTATTGTAGAAAAGGATAAAATCCTATCAGGAGCTGTTAGGTCACGGTTTTTCAAAAAAATGGTCTGCTGCACTTTTCTCTGTTTTTTGTTTTCTCTCCAAATGAATTTTTGAACACAAATTCCCTTAACTTTGTAGATGGCGTTGCACTCAAAGCAAATATCGTTGAAATCCCTATAGATCATATTGGCAGAGATGCTTATTACATCGTATAGGGGTGTTAGTTGACTTTTCAGAGTCAGGAGAGGTTGTTTTTCAACACTACAAACCTGCAACCTGCTTAAGTTTCTTCGCTCTTTTCTTTTTAGAGAGATATTGCCTTAAGTTAAGACTGCTATTAGCAACCATATTCTGTTTAGGGTCTTCAGAGTTTGTGCTTTTCATTGTTTAATTCGCATTCTTTAAAAATATGTTATTGGTAGGATATTTCTGGAGTTTAGAGAAACCAGGAGATGAAAAGTCAAAATCAAAAGATACGTTACTGTGGAAATACCTGACCCATATACCCGAGAGAAACAATAAAGAATCTTTAGTGTGGTTGACATACTGCTATGCATTATTTTTTACTTTCACTCAAAGGGTCCTAAAAAAAGAAAGTCAGATATACAAAGTCCACAGATTACATACTTCAAGAGAAAGGATTTGAATTCAGTTTTAATTATTTAACTTATGTAATTTTAATCAATTTTTTTAGTTCTCTGGTGATTGTAACTTTTTCTATTATAAAAGCAGTGAACGAGCCCGAACGCATATACACGTGAAGCATTTCAAAACTTTGAATTGAACGTGAAATGTTTATCTATCTAAACTAAAATGAAAAGATACATATTATAATAAGAGTTTCCAGAATTTTCTATTGTATGCATAAAAAGCATACAAAGTTTGTACTCATTGATTAAACACTGTAACTCATATGATCATCAAACAATATTTTGGGAAGAAGATCATTTGTTTTGTTAAATCATAAAGAAGCTCTTTGATTTTGGTTTCAGTTTTGTTACTGTCCAGTAATTGTATGCTTGTCCATTTTAGAATTATCGATTACTTTTTTGTCTTTTAATTGTTTCTGATTATAACAACATAACTTAAACATTTGTCTGATAACAGTTATTTTTCTTCAGGTTTCTCAGACTTAATATTCTTGAGGATTAGGATTTAGTCTATTCCTGATAATTGCTATAATTTCGAAGGTTTGTTTGTTTGTAATTAAGCACAAAGATACACAATGAGCTATCTGTGTTCTACCCACCACGGTTATCGAAACCCGGATTCTAGCTTTGTAAGTCCGCAGACATACCGCTGTGCCAATGGGGGCAATTTCGAAGGACAGCACAAATGTTCTTCTGACATTAGACATTTTTATTTTTATGTCCTCTGCAGTGTACAATGTTAACACCTGGAAACTTTAAAAGGAACCTGTTTCAGAGGTATATTAGTAGTATGATTTGCTCGATAAATATTTTCTCCTATGATAATAGAGTTTAGGTGCGTTAATATGTATAAGCGAACGATATAATCGATATGGTTGTTAAAGTACATATACTTTTGTCGAGACCTTTCACGTGTTATTGATAGTGTTCAGGTTTGGGTGACTAGTTTAAGATGTGCCGTTATTATTGTTGAGATCTTCGACAGAAGTGTTTTCGGTAGTGTTCAAGTTTGGGATGACTAGTTTACGATGAGTCGTTATTATTGTTGAGATCTTTGTCAGAAGTGTTTTCGGTAGTGTTCAGGTTTGGGTGACTAGTTTACGATGAGTCGTTCTTATTGTTGAGATCTTTGTCAGAAGTGTTTTCGGTAGTGTTCAGGTTTGGGTGACTAGTTTACGATGAGTCGTTATTATTGGCGAGATCTTTGTCAGAAGTGTTTTCGGTAGTGTTCAGGTCTGGGTCACTAGTTTGAGTTCTGGAAATCTCTCCAGCGAATATAATTAAACGTTTGTTCTATAGGGAAGGAGGTAAAACACCAAGTTTAACCAAACGTTTTCTGTGATGTTCGTTGTTAAAACAAATTCTGGCCCTTTTGCTAATAGGTTCAGAGTTATTATTCAGTGTACTCATAAGAATTTTCCAGTTCTTGTCAAATTAGGTGTTGTTTCCTTTCTTTGAATGAAATATTGGATGTTATGGGTTCAAACCAGATTAAAGAAATTGGGGAATTTATCTTGATTTAAATGATAAATTGGTCGGTTTATTTGAATAATCGACAAATAGTCATTGTTGTTCAGAAATAAAGTGTTAATAACGTTGTTTAAGATGGAAGAGAACACTTCACTAACCTACTATGTGACATTGATTTTTTTAGAATGAATTCAGGTAACTTGGATCAGTGACTGATAACGTTCTGAATCAGTTTATGGCCGCTCGCACTAACATTGGATTAATAACAAATCCAATAATCTCTTATACTGTACAAGCTAAGTACAATGCTTCTTCACTGTTAACTTTCCTTATCCGAAAGCTTCGACCCTAAATTAACAGAAGCAGAAGATGGCGTACATAAACCATTATTTTGCGTTAAGATAATTATGGTTATATTTCCTATTCATTATGTACATGCAGTTTTTGTGGATTAGTTAAGTTAAGATTAGTTAAATAATTTTAATCTGATAGTAGCTGGCAGCACGGAGGTTTGATATTTAGTGCTAAATGTTTATATACCAATAACAACATGTCTATTATTTAATTACAGGTTTCTAATAACGCTATTATAATGTAGTGTTTAACAATATATATAATACTCACACACACCAGAGTTATTTTAAGAACAACATGTTATTGTTAAGCTTCATGATTTGTTTAGATCACTCTCAGTAAAGCTGTAAAGCGAAACGTCCAGCAAATATATTGTTCAAAAGCATACTTTAGTTACAATACTCGAGTTCTTAGTGAATAGATTAGGAATATCAGACTCGTATTGCAACGAAGTTTGTGTTTTGTAAAGAACATTTCATCTAAAAATGTTGTTAAGAGTAATTTTATATTATTTTTATGAAATTATAAATTTAAGGATTTAATTTATATATTATCGATGTATCAAGCAGCTGTCGATAGTGAAAATTATTGAAGTAAACCTCACTTGACGTGTTTAAGTAATATATTTGTAACGTGTGGAAATCAACCTAGCGAATAATTTTTATTTAACATAAAATGCGTTGTACCAAAATGTATCCATATTAGTAAAAATTGCAATCTAATTATTAGAACCGCGAGTGCATTATATACTCACGTTGATAATCAAGGGGTAGTTGTTTGTTTGTTGTTTTCAGCGCAAAGATACAGTGGGATATCTGTGTTGTTTTCAAAGAGGGAACTGGACCCAAATTCTAGCATTATAAGCATTGAAATTTACCGCTGAGAAACCAGGACCTGAACGTTTTGAGCAGCATTTTGTATGGCACATGACACATGACGCATGTGAAGTTCATCTTTGTTTTCAGCAGACAAATGTTTTGTAACACATGAAGCACCTGAAGTTCGTCTCTTCAAATATTCGGTTTAGTTTGTTTTGAATTTCGTGCACAATTACACAAGGGCTATCTGCGCTAGCCGTCCCTAATTTAGCATTCATAGACTAGAGAGTAGGCAGCTAGTCAACACTACCCACCGCAAATTCTTGAGCTACTCTTAGAGATTAGAGAGATTAGCCGTCACATTATAACGCCCCCAAAGCTGAACATGTTTGGTGGGGTGGGGATTCGTACTAGCGACCAGCAGATTGCGAGTCGAGCGCCCTAACCACCAGGCCATAAAATATTCGGAGTACATGTTTAAGTTTCCTTAATTACTACAGCATACTGAAGGTTACATTTTACTATTCAGGATTACAATACACGTGGTTATAAAGGTATCCGTTCAACAATATTTAATGAAACTTCCTATGTATTTTTTTGCCACTATAGTTAAATACATATAAATCTGTTTTGTATCTAAAGATGTAACTAGAAATAACATACTCACCACAAATTATATTTCGGATGACAAATTTCAACGGGGGTCTGCGTCCTCTTCTGTCTAAATTTGCATTGAAACTAGCAGCAACAGTAAACCCTAAATACAGGATAAAAAGTATTGTCTTCATTGTTGGATTATTTCTGTTGTTTTTAAACGTTGCAGTCTGATCGTCATGTGTATTTATAGGTAACCTTTCAGCTGACCATGGTATTGAGTTGTTCGAAGTTTGATGTGCAACACGGTGAAAATATATTTGTTTAGTTTAATAAGTGCTCTTTCGCGTGCAACTTCGATCTCGGAGTAAATGTTCTGTATGACAGGATGTTACCAGTTTGTACTGATTGTTCATTGTCTTGTTTTCGCAAAGTTTGTACAGATGCAGTGAAAGCACCGTACTGAATTACATAGGTTGGTGTTTTTATTTGACCAGGGATGTATGTAACTACGTAACAAATGGTATTTTTATATTACTTTGTTTTCTGTGCCATTATACAGTTTCCTACACTTATGAGACTTTTTGTACTGCCATATTATAATTCAGTTTACTAACAGCCACCTGACTAACCCAGTCATGACGTTTCACGTGACGTGTGGACCCATCTTAACCCCAAAGTTATTTGATTTTTACTGGAATCATCCAGTTTAGTTTTTGTTCGTAGCTTTTCAAGAATGAAATACAATATTTTATGAATGTTCCCAAGCAATAAATATATTTATATATATATTCACAGTTTCAATCTATAAAGATCAATAAGATTACTTATTAAGAAATCGTCAAGTTTTATTTGTAATTTTCTTCATTAATTGTTATACTAGTCGGTTAATGAAGTCTACTTAAAACATTAAACATATATATATATATAGTTTGGTTGAAGTTAAGCACAAAGCTACACAATGGGCTATCTGTGCTCTGCCTACCACGTATAACACTGAAAAAAAAAATAATGTAGCTAACGTTTTAAAAAATTTAAAAACCAATTTATAATATTGTTCATCTAATATTGCGCATGCCAATTTTTATTCGCGATATTTTATTTCTATAACTTTCAGAAATGTCATATGGTTCGGTAATACAATATTTTTTCATTGTTCTTTGTGTTTATAAGTTAAATGTAAAGTCAATATGCGGCATTTAAATATGATACTCAAGATATTTCTGGAACGATTGTTTGATTGACGACTGATTTTCGCAAAAAGCTAAATAGCATAGCCGTCCTAAATTTTTAAATTATAGATCAGAGTTAATAATTCCTAAAGCTAACTCTTGCGTGTCTGGATAGTGGGGGAGGGGAGGGGTTGACTCTCACTGTTATAGCGCATTCACAATCTCAAAGTGAAAAACGCATTTGGACGGTAACGGGAAGCGAACCATGGCTTCTCAGAAACTACCGTCCGAGCACACTAATTATACATCTAAATCCTTATACTGTATAAAAGAAAACAATGTAAATTATATAAGAGCTCTAGAGAAGTCAAGAGGTTTTCGTGATCTCAGAAGAAACTTGTCTATAATCTTCACAATGAGTTGCTGTTCTGGAATCTATTTTATCTTCATGTAAACTAGTTTCATAGCCAAGTGTAACTAGCTGTAGTTAGAATTATTGCTATTTTTAGATAATTTCTGATTCTTGAATTTTTGGAAGAAGTGAACATATATCAGCTTACTCTATTGAACTGTAAAACATAAGACAGCTGACTAGTTACAGTTTACGTTTTCGTATCCGTCCAATAAAAACAAAAACGCAATACGTTTGGGAGTCATCCAGATTATCCAGATTAAGATATAAACATCAATTAATATTTCTATGGAACCTCGGAACATAAAACATAATAAAAAGTACAGAAGGTGAGAAAAGTTCCACGAAACTTAAAATAATAAAACTAAATATAGAAATTAGTTAAAAATTGCAGAAGTTTAGTATTTCCTGATGAGTATTGGTGTTGAATACAGTTTTCACAAAACTTTTGACCATAGAACAACTGTAGCAGTTTATTCAAGTTTACACAAACCTATAAATAATAGTAATGAGTAAAGTGGTTGAGTAGGTTTTACGTAAAGACGTTCAGTAAAAGACAGCAAAGTGAAGCCTAGTGAAGCGAACGGATTTGTTAAGCTGCTCTTGACTGAATTATTCTTTTTCAAAGCTCAACAAACAGTCATTTTTTATTAAACTTTCGGTTATCAACATTTACCCTCTATAACAAAGTTCCATAGATTTTAAAATTTGGGAACAAAACGTTACACATTTTGGCCACGTAGGTTTGTTTGATATCTTGGCAGTAGGAGAATTAACGTTCTTCTTGGCTGTACAATAAAAGAATAGCTTCGCTCTCTGTCCTTGAACATTGAACAAAGTCTGATTTCATTAAAATGTTTTTTTTACCAAGCTTTGGCGTATTTACGACCTCCTCTTTTACGTCTTCATACTCACGACCCTCCCTTATCCATATCATATTTTAATGTCTAATACAAGATAATAATATATTAAAAGCATCTTTAAACATTCAATATAATTTAACTGTCAATGGGATGGGCGTTTCTGTTTCGATGAGCTGTTACATTCATCGAGAGATGTCTATGTAGTCCTAAGCATGTTATCTTTCAAGTGACAATTGGTTTCGAGTTTAGTCTCAGTAGATAATTTCATTGAGAATTATGATTTATTTAAGTAAGAAGTGAAATGCACAGTTACGTGCAATGTACAATATTACAATTTCTTATGTATTAATATCTACAGTTTTGCATCAGAATGGCACTGTATGTTATAGACTCAAAGCATACAAAGTAACTGTGGATTGAAATGGATATTAAGACTAGCAATGGCAGCCAGATGTAAAAAAAAACTGATAGGAAAAGATAAAATAAATTAGTAAATAATATCAAAGTTAAGCAGCGTTTCTTCATAGACATACTTCATTTTATCCTAATATAATTATATGAGTAATTTGAAAGCAGAATTAGAGTTTCAGTTATGTTATTAATGTCACGTTAATGGTGTAAAAGGTTATTTAGATTTTTAAATGTACTTTTATGTTATAAGTCCTGTATGAAGTAGTTAACGAATATTAAACAACATAAGTAGCATACACTGCGATATTTAGTAACAGCTAGCAGAATAATGACATATAGTCAACAGCTCTCACTGCTAATTCTTTGGATGCTTTTGTCTGATCGAATAGTGGGATTTAACCGTCATTTTTATGGCGCACTCATGATCCTAAAGTGCAGAGTGTGTTTATGCAACAATGAGACATGAATCATAAACCTTCGGATTCACAGTTTGGGAACAAAAGAAAAAAAGCCATAAGTTTCCGCCAAACGTAGGTTCGGGACTTTTAAGCGAAGAATAAATTGAACATAGATAGTAAAGGAAAACAAACAAGCACAAGTGTAGCTTGCAACACAAACACAATGTTTAATTATCTAAACTGGCCAGGCTTCTGTAGTTGACTGTGGAAAGTCCAGAGTAAAAGCACAATCAGGAAACATAACTATGGAAACACCCGACTTAAAAACCTCTAGCAAAACAAAAAAAAAATAAGTCAAATATCCACAAGTCCGTAGATTACACACTTCAACCAATGTTTTGCACGCAATCTTAAGCCCACTCAAGTGTATAGGTTTCTATGTTCCTTTTAGAATATGGTATTTTTCAAGAAATCCGTACAGAAACACATACATTCTATAGCTTGGGACTTAAGAACGAAGTTTGCAGCATGCAGTCTTTACCCGTGTAAAAGGATTAGCACACATTTACGACATTGGAGCATCCAGTAATTAAGAATTACATATGGAAATTGCATTAAAATTTAGAAATATATTACATGAATATACCTGATAAATATATATTCTATACTATTTACAGAAGGGTGAAATTAATGACTATTTCAGTCATTACAACCAGTCCCTTCTTTATCTCAAGAACTGCCTCGCCCCGAACTTTAAAATTAACATTAATGGCCAAATCAGAAGATTAATTGCAGGTCGCAAGATGGGTAATCGTTTCGCTCAGGTGACGCGCGCGACACCTACATAAAGACAAGAGAGTTTAACACATAAAACTCCGGCAGCTAGTTGCAAAAACAAAATAAAACTTCAAAATAATAATAATAAATCTCAAAAATCAAAATACGACAAATCGTAATCATAATACATAATACAATATAAAACTAAACCCAAAACAAACAATGAAAACAACAACAAACAACAGCCACCCGGCTACAAAAACCTAAAATTATATTCTTTGTTTGTGGGATTTCGCGCAAAGCTACTCGAGGTCTATCTGCACTAACCGTCAAAGTAAGAGGTAAAATAATTACTCTTGAATCAAAGATAGAAAGTAACGTTGTTGTTTTTTTCTCAGTTATAAACGCAACAAATGATAAACGACATCTTAAGCAGTGGTCGGTATTCATCTCATTGGATCGTCTTAGTGTATATATACTTGAACTTTCCACGACACTTTCCGGAGTTCTTGGGTATGGGTCAGATCTTCAGGACACCTAGAATCGTCTTAGTGTATATATACTTGAACTTTCCATGACACTTTCCGGAGTTCTTGGGTATGGGTCAGATCTTCAGGACACCTAGAATTATAAGTTCGATTACATATTGGAAATAGTTACACCAAGATGAAACTGGCCAGTAGGGAAAATTTCTAAAATATTTTTATCTCAGTGGACTTGTGTGGCGAATGAAATACATGCACGCTACCCTGCCATCTGAGTGAAAAAAGCAAGGAGAAGAATTGAAATAGCTGTCAAATTTGTATACACGAGAAAGTTTATAAAATAAGAGGTTTTAAAACCCCTCTCTGGTATCCACAACAACCCCTCAAAGTTCCATGGTGATCAGAGGTCGAGAACTGCAAAGTCTTCTTCATAGATAGAAAGGCACAATTATCTTTCTATTATAGATACGTGTATATTTTATTGATGAGATCTGACAACCGCTGGCTTATATCATGAACGTTTACAAATATATTTTCCACATAATGTAACAAAACTCACTGTTGTTAGGTTTTTGCCAACATCACATGGCAATCGGGGCAATATTTAATATCAACAACGTAACTACTGCTGATATATCTTATAAATATATTATTACTATTTCTATGTTTAAAATGAAGAAGAGAAGTTTGGTTTGAATTTCGCGCAAAGCTACACGAGGGCTATTTGCGCTGCAGCTTAGGATATATTACACTTAACCACATTTTATGAAGTTATTACCAAAGTCAAGGAATTTATATATATCTTGGATCAACTATGCAGGCAGGTAGAGAACTGAGTAAAGAGGTTAAAGAAAGAATAAACAAGTCATAGATGAAGAGGA